GACTTTTCAACTATCTGATTTGCTTGTAACACGGACCTAGTAGAGACAGTGTATTCCAACCATGGGCTTTGATTAAAGCAGTATTCATACTTACCACATACGTAAGAGAGCCTAACATCACAAAAGGAGGGAGGGTGACGTTACTGACCAGCAAACATGATGGTGGGAAGATAACCTCAATGCACACATGTCCATAGGGCAGAACATCTTGTTCAATTACGGCTCCTTATGGTTTAGTGGGATGTTACGAACTTAAGCTATTAATGCTGATTTATTAGCCTTCAGTCTTTAGTCTTCAGTAATAAGGATAGTAGGTTGGTGAACCTGTATTAATTCTGACACATTGCTTTCCAGTGAACGTCCAGCTTCTCCTTGAAAGTATTCACTGATGGGGCTGATACCACTTGTTCGGTAAAGCGTTCCAATGATTGACTACTCGATGAGAAAAACGGGACCCCACTTTAAGTTCATTAGATCGTGGATTATGAACCTTCTTGCTATGACCTCGGAGGTTATTAGTGCTGGAGGGAGCAAAAAGATAAGACATATTAACACCCAAATCATAATTAAAGATACGAAATGCCAGTATAAGGTCACCTCGTGTCCTACGATACGACAAGGAGAAAAGATTTGGGCGTTGTAAACGCCATCGTAAGGGAGTTTAGAAAGACCCTTTAATAATTTCGTTCACACACGCTGGATACGCTCAAGTGAGTTAGTATCCTTTACCAGAAACGGGCTAGCTGCTTGGATACAGTACTCTAAATGTGGTCTAACATATATAGGATATAAAATTCGAAAAGTTCACACGTCAAAAGATTTGAACGCTCGGCGAAGTGACCATAATGCACGAAAACCTTTGACAGTGGTTGCTTTGCAATGTGTAGTTGTTTTTAAATCATGACTTAATACTACTCCTAAGTCTTTATGTTCTTGAACGCATGGAAGAGGTTTACCCTCAATAGTGTAATGGTAACTATTACCGTGACCGATGTGCATTAATACACTCTTCTTAGCATTGATTTCTAAGCTTCACTCTCGAGCCCATCTAACTAAATCATCTGTCAGCTTGAAGATCCAGATGATCAGCCGCACTTTTTATTGTTCTCCAGATTTTTACATCATCCGCAAACAATAATGTCGACGACCTAAGTAACAGTGGTAACTCATTAACGTAGAGAAGGAAGAGCAGAGGGCCTAAGATGGTGCCTTGTGGTACACCACTTTTGACCGGCTTCCAATCGGATAGCGTTCCGTTGACCCTCAGTCTCTGTCTGCGGTCACATAAGAAATTTCCTATCCACTCATGTACAGTACCTATTATTCCGAAGCTCGTGAGCTTCTGTATAAGACCTAAGTGTGAAACCTTGTCGAATGCTTTGCTAAAATCTATGAATATCACATCGACAGACAGACCGTTATCTAGGGCTGCTGTCCAATCCTCCCTCGCAATAAGCGAGTTAGTCAAGCATAAACGCTTGTTGCAAAATCCGTGTTGCTCAGGGGCTAACAAATTGTGTAAATCTATGTGGCTTAGCAACCTAACCCGAATTGTCTTTTCAAGTAACTTAACGACTATGCTAGTTAAACTGACAGGCCGGTAGTTAGATACTATCTGTCTCTGACCGTCCTTAAATATAGGACTGACTATAGCGTACTTCCAATCTCTAGGGAGTTGAGCGAGTGAAAGGGACATGTTGAAGAGTGACGCAAGCGGTTTGCAAATAATGTCCGCAAAAGATGACAGCAGCCGTGGATGTAACCCGTCAGGGCCCGGTATCTTACCAGGTTTGAGGTTAGCTATCAACAGAAGGACAGTTTCCTGAGTCACCTGTACAGATTCAATAGTTGGTATCTCGGTGTGAGTGGGACAAGTATTTGTTACAATAAACGTGGAGAAGACTTCGCTAAAATAGTTTGAAAAAGTCTCATCTTTCGCTCGATCTGATTCAGCTAGTAATTCTGAATTTTTGTGTAACAGTAACGGGGGAATACCATCACTGCGTTTCATTTGCCGTTTAACATACGAAAACAATCGTTTCGGACAAGTACGGCTATCATATACTAACTGTCGTTCGTAAGTGGTACGGGATTTCGCTATGGTTTTCTTACAGATATTACGGAATTTTTGGTACTCACGCTTAAGTGGTGCATGACCTGTCAACAAGAATAAGTCTCAGAAATGTTTCCTACGCTTTAACAGCTTCCGGGTTTCCTTATTAATCCATGGAGGGCAATGTGATAGCTTACGTGCTGACCATGGGATAAACGGCGACGTTACGGACTCGAATGTAGCCTTAAAATTATTCCATTCATCTTCGATCAATCCATCCGCGTCGACCGACCAATCAGTCGAGATAGCACAGTTTCTGATTTCTGGAATATTAGCTCGCCAGATATTGGGACGGGGTAGAGCAGATAAGAATTGTATACCATGTATCCTAAACTTAAAGTGAATTACAACGTGATCACTGTTCACTAGTGGAGGAAGGTGCTGGATATCAAAGACATCCTCAGAGTGGTGGGTGAGGGCGAGGTCCAGCAGTGACGGAACATGATGCAAATCAATATGTGTCGGTTTTGTGATACATTGTACAAGTGCACACTGAATAACGGTTGATAAAAGGTCGTTATCGAAACCACTACCTGGAGCTGTAAGCTCTATCCAGTTGATATGCGGTGCGTTGACGTCCCCAATGATGAGACAACATTCTGCCATACTCCAAGAACAGATGTGTCTTAGGATAAAGTCGTCAGCAAGACAAGACGGACTACGGTATATTCCCCCTATAGTCACCAACCCATTTCTAGATTTAATCTTACAACATGCAACCTCACATGTGCCACTGATATGAGCCTCCGATATGGTTGATTGTATACGAAAGTGATCCCTAACGTATAATATTATACCTCCCCCTTTGCGACTTGAAAATCTATCACTTCTGATACAGATATAACCAGCAATGAAAGGAGAACAGTCTATATCTACTGTGAGCCAAGTTTCTGTAACAACGATTATATTGGGACATAATTCTTGCACCATCAGACTTAGCTCGGACGTTTTATTTCTAAGACTACGAGCGTTCGTGTAGCACACACATAAGGTGTTCTGGGAATCAATCGTTCTACCCATACAGGCCTCGAAAGCATTGGCTTCCAAGACCTGACTACCCGAAAACCCTTAATGGTAAGGTTATTTTCGCCATTTAACTTGCGAGACCTCAACTCCGTAAGAGCATTCTTCCACTTGATTCGATCCTCAAGCGGCCAATCTGGTCGAATACGGATATTTGAGGCACGAGTTTTTAGTGCGCTTCTCAATAACATGTATCTTTCTTCAAAACTCCCGAGAACCAGCTTCAGGATTCTTCTTGGTTGGGTCTCGCCTCCAACCCATTTACCGAGTCGTATTACTTTTGTAATATGTACCCCTGAAACCTCTTCAGGTAGTATATTCCTTACCACAGACTCTACTAACTGCAGGTTATGTGCATGTCTTCTAGCAGGGTCGTTATTTTTCGACTCCTCTAGATTCCAAATAATTAAACTAGGGATGGGTTTAGCATCTTTTGAAACTGTGTTCACAGCTTTCGACCGTGGCGTTAGATCTTGTATTTTAACTACTGGTATCTTACGACTAGTTTTTATTTTAACAGAGTTCTGGGAGTCGAGCGAGTGACTCACAACAATGTCAGACGAAGCTTCACTGTGGGACATTTTCGGATTGGTCTGAGAGTCCAGACGTTAGGTCTGGATTGGACTGAAGCGTGCTCGTGACTGACAGTTATATGGAAGTCCAAAGTTAAAACTGCGTGATCACCTTTACCTAGGGGTGGCATATAATGGAGGTTCGCAACGTCATCCTCTTAGTGAGTCGTTATAAGATCTAGTAAGGATGATTCAGTGTCCGGGTCGTAACTCGTCGCTTCTTTCACATGTTGTACTAGAGCACATGTGATAACCACATCAACTAGTTCCTGCTCGAAAGAATTCTCCGACGATTTAGTTCGCAGTTTTACCCAGTCTACCATTGGTGCATTCAAGTCCCGTACGATTAACACCGACAACTTTGTGACCAAGTATTGAGACTGCTTAACAGGATCTCATTTACCTCACAGCTTGGACTGCGATAGACTAAACCAATCAGTAGCTCTTGTCCCTTGCATTTCAAGCGGCAACTAACTAATTAACATGTCCCACTCTCGTGCGATACACCATCGATAATGGCAAATGAAATAGCATTCCTAATGAATAGAGCTACTCCACATCCTTTACGCTTTGTATTCTATCGGCCCTTACTAACGTAAAACTCTCGAAATCAAGTTATATACTATCTATAGCCTGTGTCAGCCAGGTTTCTGTGACTAAGATTATGTCTGGCTTTGTAGAGTCAATCTGTACACCTAGTTCCGATCGCTTATTGAGTAAGCTTCATGCATTGGTATAACAGATCTGAAGCCTATTTAAGTGCCTTCGTGTTTCACCCAGAGTGACTTAGGCATCATTCTCTGTACTAGAGCCTCTTCTCTTATTGATCTACATAAATGATCTTCCTCAACAGGTAACGTCAGACTTATTACTTTTGCCGACGACGTGAAACTTTGGAGAGAAATACGCAACCAAGACGATATACAGGCACTTCAGGAGGATCTGACTCGACTTCAAAGTTGGGCAGACGATAACGGACTTACATTTAACACTTCAAAGTCTAAAGTAGTCCATCTGAGACATGTTGCAAACTACAGTTACAATTTAAGAAACTCCTCTCTAGTAGTATCTCAAGTCGAAAAAGATTTAGGAGTCCTGGTGCCCCATGACTTAAAGTCTTACGCTAACTGTGACAAAAATGCCTTCCGAGCAAACCTTGCACTGGTAACGTTGAAGCGCATTTTTGGACAGTTTGACGGACGAACTTTCCATACAATCTTCAATAGTTTCATCCGTCCCCATTTAGAGTACGGAAACATAGTACTCCCCCCTCACTCCGAAAGGACAAGGTCACTTTGGAGCGTATCCAACGGCGAGCCACGAAATCAGTTCGAGGACTCAAATCTAAGCCTTACGAAGAACACCTCCACTCACTAGACCTTTACCCATTAGAATATAGACGTCTTGGAGGTGATTTATTAATGGCTTATAGTATTCTTAACACTTCTGGACATCCTCTTAAACACCTACTTAAGCTTAGTTCGAATAATAACCTAAGGGGTAACACCCAGAAACTGGAAACACAACATAGCAAGACGGAATGTAGACACAACTTCTACTCCTTAAGAGTTGTCAAAAGCTGGAATTCGCTGCCGGCCGAGCTAGTCCAAGCGACTTCTCAGGAGTCCTTCAAGAGGCAACTTGACCTATTCTTAAGGACCAAGGACAGCATCACATTATGATTTACCAGTTTCTTTTCCTCTTTTATTGTTAACATACCTAGGTTCCTGCCTGGAGGATTTGGTGATTCCCTGCTACTAGACACGGAAGCCTGTTAAGCGAAAGCTTCTTCTATTCCGTCCACAATCATTTGAACCATTTGAACCATTTAGCCAACAGCGGTGCTTCTGCTTTCAAGGTCTGATTTGTCGTGGTACGTGGTGAGTTTGTGGATATTTTATCAAGAATGAGCTATTAACCCATCCATTATTTATTGATCGATCTTCCCTAGATTCTCAATTTGTTCTTATACTTAGATGAATTGATCCTGGTAGTCTTAACTTAATATATTAACCCTGATGTTTAGGTCCTACTGTCCTAAAACTATCTTATAACACAGTATCGTATGTTTCTTGACACACTTACATTGTCATTTTACTCACACACACATACTAGCGTTTAATTGTGAGCCGCTTCATTTCTCGGAAAATTTATTACGCCTACTTTACACAAACTACTCATTTCGCGACCAACTGTAAATTCCTGCTTCCCTTATTGAGTAGAAGTATAATATACTGGTGTCCTTAAGGGACCTATTGGCTAAACGAAAAACACTACCTCGTTATAAATCAAATAAAAATGCAAAGTAATTAAATAATATTCGGATAACAGTTTTGATACGTATAACTAACTCTCACATGGAAAATTATCCTTTGTATTCGAGGAAAAAGGTGATGCTTACGTATATTCATACATATTAGGAGATGGGCTTGTGTTACGAGTTTAGGTTATCACCCATAGGTTTTCATTATCAGCTGACACCAGATATAATGCAATGCCTGACCACCTTCCTGTTTACAAAATTTAGAAATTCGGAGCTAAGTATTAAAAAAAATAAGAGAGGCAATGTTATCTAGACCCATTAAGCACTCTTGATCACGTGATAAAACGGATCAAGTTGTTTAACTAACAATTTGCCTCAGTGGCAGGTCTGTTATATAATACAGCTTGAATACCATCGATCTCCGGCGGTAAGGAACCAGCAAGTACGGAGCTGACACGAAAACTATCCACGAAAAGGTCGTATGTGACCTCAAGCAGTTGTCCCTTGGGCACTGCGATCACGCTCTCAGGTCACCAAGACCACCTTTAACTTAATTTCCTTCTTAGGTACCACTAGAAGAGCCCTTCCACGGTTTGGGCATCCGGAAAGTGACAACCGCCCTCATACCTCTAACAGCACTGTAGTGTCGATAGCCCTCATACTTGAACTATGGCCCAAGGCTAAGTACACGAATATCTGTACCTAGTAAATGTTTTAGAAAATTTGAAAGTGCAGTTTTATCCCTAAAATCCCTATTTTTTTTTCAGGAATATGACAAAGTCAAAGAAGAAGTAAGTCAAGAATAATTCTAAATATCTAAAGATTACAAGTGTCAGTCAGTCAGTCAGCTACAACGTAGGACCAGACACATATTTGCAACGATCCAAGTTGTCATACCTCATTAACACAAGATGGACACCGGATTCATAAAAGCAGTTAATTCAGAGGTGGCAATATATAAACGAAAGATTGCAATAAGGATACAGTACAGGAAGAAAGAATTAGTTCGTAGAAAGAAAGATATGAAACAATTTTAATCTCTCAGTTTAAGGGAAGACAGATAGTGTTTACACCCACGCCATTGTGATCGATTCTGATCCATGTCACCAAAAGTCCCCAATAATTGGTTACGATAGTCATGCGGACCCCAACCAAGTAGTCTGCATCTACCAACATGGCTCAGACTAGAAGTTAGTGACTTCAGGCACTGATGCCACGTTTTGGTTTGGCCGCCCCTAACTTTCTTCCAACCATCCCCTACACCGGTTAGCATTGCACGTCGTAGTAATCGGTGTTTGGGCATACGTAATACGTGGCCCAACCATCTCAGTCGATGAAGATTCATAACCTCATCAACTGATTTACCATCATTACCTAATACCCTGCGTCTAACCTCACTATTACTTACCCGGTGATCCCAGAAGATGCCAGCAATATTTCTGAGGCATCTGTGGTCAAATACTAGTAGCTTACGGGTGTCTTCTACTCTTAATGGCCATGTTTTGCAGCCGTAAAGTAGAACAGAACGAACTGCCGCGCAGTATACTCGTCCGTTTATTGATAGACGGATATCTCGCCTTCGTCACAGGTGACGTAAATTGGCAAAAGCCAAGCGAGCTTTTCGAATCCGTGCTGAGGTTTCGTCAGACACCAACCCATTAGGGCTGATCAGACTTCCAAGATAAGTGAAGTTGTCAACGCGTTCAACTACTTCACTCCCTATCCTTAGTTCAGGTGTTGACGGAGACCAGTCCTGAAGCAACAACTTGCATTTAGAGGGAGAGAAGCGCATTCCAAACATTCTGGCAAGTAACTCATTTATAAATAAAAGTGCTTCTCTTTCGATGATTCCATTTGGTAAAATTCTTACTTCCCTGTATAATTAAATGAAATAACTATTGAACAAATATTGAATGTTAATGTACATGAGTGTAATGAGTAGAAATTTCAGAATATGGTTCTTAATGACTGAAATAGATTATTAGTAGATTGGTCAACTGTTGATTCAAGCCACATTAGTAGATACAGACTATCTGGTTAGGGTTTGTGCGATATTCGTGACCAGTAGTTCGTGGTTCTGGCTAAAATGACTCGAAATTGTTCACAATAGCGCATATACATCCTTTTCTGTATCATCCTCTCGTTGACACATACCTTTACACCCTATCTTTTTGAACTGTATTCCTCAATGTTTAGTCTTTCTTACTATGATTGCCACTAGATTATTTCGATCTTTTTTCTAACTCAGCTTGTTATATTCGCCTCATCATAACAATGTAGTACAGCAACTTGGACCATCGCGCTTGTGTGTTAGCTTTTTTATTGATGACAGACTTACTTTACTTTTTACTTATGCCTGTTACCCCTCTTAGGGAAGCACTGGTCACCCACCAGCATGTCCTAGTTTTTTTGGCAAGGTTGTTTTCTACGGGATGGGGGATGCTGAACCCACGCCCAACCCTCCTCCTTTGCTCGAGCTTGAGGCCGCAATAACCTTAGAAGAGCTACAAGTGGAGTTATTATTATTATAACACAGACTTATTTTCCACCTATAAATCATAGTTTAAGCCTACACTTCTATCACAAACAAGTAAGTTTTTAGACTATTATAAAACATTATGTTATTATAAAATTTCTATTTTTATAGATAAAATTATATTAAATCGAACTTAAATTTGTAGAAAGTTGAATTACAGTGAAATACGTAAACAACACTTACTTGAAGATAATGAAAAAGAAGAGAAAATTCTTAAAAAATTATCAAAGAAGTTGAAAATGAATCGTAATTCTACAAAAACTAAACAGAAAAAAGAACAAACTCCACTATGGTTAACACAATGTGGATTTGATTGTACTGTTTATTCTTCTCTTTTCAATGTTAAATTTAATTTAATTTATATTTTAGACATACTAAATTTCGAGAAACAAATAAATTTAGAAAAGGATAATACTGATAGTAATAACACTGTTCTATGTACTACTGTTGGTGTATCTTCAAAGAAAAGTACTAGTGTTAAACTTAAATAATATCAATTTAAAAAAAACCTATTGTAGAGAGTAAAAAACTTGATTTATATGGTCAAAATACAAATAGTAGTAATAATAGCAGATCAATTACTGATCATGATGATCAACATTCAGACGGTAAGTTTTACGTTAATTTTCTAATTTTTTTGATTGAGATCATGAACCGATTGATGTTGGACCACCATTGAAAATGTGGAAGCACTGGACGGCCGTTTCGTCTTATCGTGCGACTCCCCAGTAGTGCGAATCTATGACCCCACTCTCGGAATTCGAACCGACGGCCCTCAGTCTCTCTCGCGAACGCTTAACCTCTAGACCTTTGAGTCGGTATCCATCGGTGTTAATGTCTAACCTCAACCAATCCACAAAATTGCGTGACCATCTTCCATTGTACTGAGGTAGATACCTGAATCCACCTGACATGGATTAGCTTCACTGGTCACGGCTAGGGCTCTTGGTTCGCATCCTGTGAATGGGATCGCAGATGAGCACTACTGAGGAGTCCCATAATAGAACGAAGCGGTCGTCCAGTGCTGCCAGGTTTTCAATCGTGGTCTAACATCAATCGATTCATGATCTCAATCAAAAACTTAATAATCTCCACAACCCTATACTGATAATTTTCTAATTGTATTTTTGTTGTTGTTGTTGTATAGTTGATTCATTGTTAAATGAACCGATCCAGTGTACAGATCTATCTGTTAATGAAAAATTAAATGAAGTTAATATTTCAATGCTAAATGATAATCATGATTTCAATGAAACTCTATGCAAATCAATACGTAGTTCATTAAATCGTTTATCGGAATCACAAATGTCAAAAATTATTACAGAACTTTGTGATTTATTTAATAAATATCCTCGTGCATCTGTTCGATCACATTTAATTGAAGAAATATGCAATTTAATAGAAGTATGCTTCAATATTTCTCTTTTTTTTTTTAAAAAAAATTATTCTTTTAGTGTACACAAATTAATCGTCATACTAAAATTGGTTGGTTACATCAAGAATTAGCTATATGTATCACTTGTATTCAAATTATGTTACATCATTTATTTCAATCAATACCTTTAATTGGTTATTTAATTGAATCAATTATTTTTCGATTATTTCCTATCAATAATAATAAAGCACAATTATCATCAAATGGAATTTGTACATATTCTATATTTTTAGCTTATTTATATCGTTTTGGAGTAAGTAATTGATTGATTATTAAATTTTTTTAATCATTTTGATTTAGTAGTCTGTCTTATATAATAATAATTATGATTAACATAAGGTGAAGTAGTAAAGGGAACCATCGTAAACTAATGAACATCACCAGGTAGCTAATTGTTTCATTTTATTTTGTGGTTCATTAATATGGCTTATCTTGCCTGAACATCGATTACCACGACGTCCAGTACTAACCGGTGTTGGATATGGTTGGAAGAAAGTTAGGGGCGCCAAACCAAAACGTGGCATCAGTCCACAGTGTCACTAACTTCTGGTATGAGCCATATTGGTAGATGCAGACTACTTGGTTGGGGTCCGCATGACTATCGTAACCAATTATTGGGGACTGTTGTTGACATGGCTCAGAATCGATCACAGTGGCGTCGGTGTATATACTCTTTGTCTTCCCTTAAACTAAGAGATTAAAATCGCTTCATATCTTTCTTTCTACGAACTAATTCTTTCTTCCTGTACTATATCCTTATTGCAATATTTATTTTATATACCATTGAAGTAACTAGTTCTATGAATCCGGTGTTCATCTTGTTGTGTTAATGAGATATGGCAACTTGGACCGATGCAAATATGTGCCTGGTCCTACGTTGTAGTTGACTGACTGACTGATATGGCTTATCTACAACAACTTTATTGCAAGCATATCGGCCAATATTTACGCATTGCTAAGGTGTCCAAAACTATGATAAAATAGTTAGGTAGTTCATTGTTCTCAGTTTTTTGTTATCACTCATGGGTTTGTTCCCCTATTAATGTGTAACGTAATGATATCGCCAATTACGGAACAGTAATTTATCGATCGAACCAATGATGCATAAACACGTACGAGCAGTTTAGAGTTCTTATAGGTTCTGTTTCCTATTAAATCAAGAATACCAATCTCAACCTCTGCGATATGAATCATGTATTTCAGGCATACTGGGTTTATATACAAACCAAACAGACCACATCGTACCATAAAATAGGAAACTCCATTTGTACAAGATTTGGCCAAATGTGACTGTGAATGTGGGAGATAGTAATTTATAGACTGAGCGTAACTCAAGAATTGTAAATCTCATAATAGTAAAAGCCTATAGGTCAAAATAAGGCTTACAATAAAAGGAATACGAATATGCATAGTTTAGCTACTTAACAATTATATGGTAAAAATATGCGTATAATATTAGTCCAGAAATAGATTCCAACAGTTACGATTCATTATTCTCATTGGGATATAACATTTTTCAATAAGCTTTTCATCTAATAATAGTTTTAAACAATTTTTACAAACTTTAACTCGTTTTCATTTGTCAATGATATTTTCAGGTAATCTCAGGTACTCTTATTTTAGATATTTTGAAGGCGTATATACGTGATTGTGACATCGGCAAAGTGAAAGCTGCTCATTTTATTACAATCGGTAAGTTGATTTATGCAGTTAGCGGTCACCATAATATAGAGCTTATTCAGTCTTAATCTGTTAGATAGCATGGTTAATTTGCAGAAGACTGATGTAAACCATAGTCTCGTATACAAAACTCTACATGCTTTACAAATACCAATGGTATTTATTAGGTGTGCCTTGTGTTTTTATAAAGAACCATTAAAACAAGTAATCCGTTAAGAGATCAAGGATAAAGTATTTATTTATCACTATTTGGAGCAACTAACTTTCAATCATAGTATCTCGAGTTTAAACCCAAGCTCATCTGCCTCGGTTTGGGCAGGAGTGTATTACCACTTAATCTCACTCACTGTATATAAAAATCCCAAATATACCTACCTGTACTTGGTACATGGTTCAAGGATTAAGGATTAGTTCTTGCTCAAAGACCTATCTTTTCTTTGCATTCAGCATGATGTGTTGTATATCATTTAAAGTGTGCATACCTGCTCTTTGAATATCAATTGGCACATTAATAATCATATTCTGTTTAATTGAATAAGTATCATTGCTAGTCTAGAACCCAACAAAAAATGCTTTCTGCGTAAAACCATCAAGTCATCTAATCGTTTAAAATAATAGGCAACATTGTGAACTGATGAAACAAAATAACAAAACTAAGTTGAAGCCGTTTTATGTTAATCTTACTATGTTAGGTCATCGAAGGTATTTGAAAAAACACCTATAAACCTAAGTTTCATACTATTTAACACAAACCAACAAAGCGTATCTTGAGGAAACTAATATTCCACATTTCCAGAATGATCCATTGATAACATCTCGTTGTGACACTAAGTGGAACAGGTTCAAATCCCCTGGGGACCATCAGTTTCCTCAAGATTGTAGTGTAGTGAACAAGAACACGGGTGGGGACAATCGATTGTATTTAGCACAAAGATTACAGACTATCTCAATAAAATGTGAATACCATAAAGTCAATCGTCAATTTGCAAAATATCATTCCATCATATGAAACTGTACTGTTCCCGATGCAAACACTAATCGATTGTCGCCCATTCCATTGTACATGCGTTTTCTTACAATTCCATTGTGCTCTTGCTCTTCCTTTCTTGATCTTCGCCATCTTCTGCTGCCGGACATTACGTTCTTTTAACGCACGTTATATACTACTTATATCAATATAAGTAGCTCACACCACACTCGTCCCCCCCTTAAAGCAGTCGTTCTTGTGGTAGTTCATGCTCGCCGTGCAACATTCTCCGTCTCTGCAGTCTGTGCCACGCTCTCCGTCGAGATGTCGAGTCTGCGGCGCGCTGACTTCCACAGCCCTGTCGACCTGCCGGGGCAACAACAACCAACATCCACCCGGCACCTGGGACGCTTGACACCCGCACTCCACCGGCCTGCTGAGCCATCTACATCCGATGTCCGCCCAGCAGCCGCGCGTCCCGACACTCCACTTCGTCGACAGCACCCGCCACAGCCAACGCAGCCCCGCCAGGACACTTCACCAGACGCCACCTCTCCGCACCAGACTGCCCCAACTGGCACCTCAACCCCAAGCCCGCAACGGCGTCCGCAGAACAGCACACTCCTCCTCTCCTGGTTGGCAGCGACACCAAATGTAGTGAACAAGAACACGGGTGGGGACAATCGATTGTATTTAGCACAAAGATTACAGACTATCTCAATAAAATGTGAATACCATAAAGTCAATCGTCAATTTGCAAAATATCATTCCATCATATGAAACTGTACTGTTCCCGATGCAAACACTAATCGATTGTCGCCCATTCCATTGTACATGCGTTTTCTTACAATTCCATTGTGCTCTTGCTCTTCCTTTCTTGATCTTCGCCATCTTCTGCTGCCGGACATTACGTTCTTTTAACGCACGTTATATACTACTTATATCAATATAAGTAGCTCACACCACAGTAGATACACTTTACTGATGAAGTTCAACTGACACAAAATCTAGGTCCAGGATTTTCCACTGATTACCTTCAACTATCTAACGTTTCAATGTATTGCAATTATCATCGAGTTACTTAGACTAGTGGTTATATAATTTGATCAATAGTATTCAATTTACTACATTGGCCAAATAAACATAACATTGTTTACTATTCACTGATTAATCAATGTAAATATGCTTGTAACAACCTTTTGTACAGTTGATTATAATATTTCTATGTATTATCTTTATTTTATTTTTAGCGGTTGGTGTTAATCTACGAAAATCTAATTTGAATGTATGTCAAGAAATTATTCAACAAGCAAATTTTGAACATGAAAAGCATAAATTACAAAACTTTGAAATAGCGTACGTTATGTAGTAATTCCCTCTTTCTCTCGTATATTTTTTTTCGAAATCAGAAATCATATAATCTCCCTTGTTTTTTTTTCTCATCTTATCCAGATTTGAATTGGAGGGACTGATTCAACGTCTTTCAGAGAAACGTTCTATGGAGGAGTGTGTTACACGATCATTACATTTACAGAAACTTATAAGGGTATGGACTAAAGGTAACTCACATGTTTGTCTTTGTGTGTGTGTGTGTGTATTTCATGTATATTTCTATGTGTTATAGCATTTTCAAATCATTTACCTAATTATTCTCATTATATGAATTAATTGTAGAAACAAATAGATCAATGGTGAAATCCTATGCATATTCGTTGCTTAAAGATTAAGATTTGAATCCCGTATTCATAAACATTCTAGACGAAACAGATAAATCTTTAACATCTCGACGTCAAATTAAGTGTAGACCAAAACGGATAGTGTTTCACTAGATCTTATACTAAAATAGTGAAACAGAATAGAGAGTGTACAAACTTATAACGATCGTTTTCCTTGTTTACACGAATATGGCACTAATTTGCCTTGGATGAATATCTTTAGTAGATGCCGTCTTAGTGTCTATCTCACGGAACATCAACACAATCCAGATCAAGAACACGTGACTAGTCTGACTAGAACGTAAGTATATTTCCACACCAAAAAAAACCCGACAACAATCACAGTAATAATAAGGGTAAGAGAACATATAACTCATCTACTACCTGTCAGACTATTTGCCATTCTGGCTAAGTGAACAACCAATCATTGTTGTTAAGATGCGATAAAGTTAACGTTGAAGTAGAATAGATGGAATTCAGTGGAGAACATTTTCTTTTCAATGATTTCATTTATTTAAGCTGTACAATCGTAATTTATTTTCTGAAAATAGTAATCTACGTTAAAATAGAATAATGTTGGATCACTAAAACTTGGAGTGGTATTGTGTCGTAGATTCTTTATGAAAATCATATTTTGGGAGGAAAGTTATGTAACAACCGAACGGCTAATGATATATGCTAATGTGCAGATAACTGTCCACTTCATAGATATTAGAAACAGAACAATTAAAAGTTTTAATAATGAATAATAAATATTTGTAAAAGATAATTTGAAAAAATGGGAACCTCATAAAGAGGGTCTTTTTAGCTGCCACCGACTCTTTTTCATATTGTCGTTTTAACCTCGGATTTTCCTCGATGAATCTAGATGGATATGCAATGGAGCCCAATCAGTAACGGGTGAATAAAGCATTCCACTTCAGATATTAGATGAAGGGTTGCGCAAGATCATGGATCGGTGGAAGTAAGACATTAACACTGTTGGGTGCCGTTTCAATGGTCTAGAGTTTAAGCGTTCGCATGCGAGACCGAATGTCCTGGGTTCGAATCCCGCGTGCGAAATCGTGAACGCGTACTGTTGAGGAGTTGCATACTAGGACGAAACGGCCGTTCAGTGCTGCCAGGTTTTCAATGGTGGTCTAGCTTACATCGACTCATGAATTCGACCATTAAAATTAATTATCCATTCAGTTTTTGAAATTTAGTCAGTAAAAAATCTATCTGAAGTTATGACTGTGTGAACACGACTATGATTAAAAATCCTATTTTTCCGTGTGTTATACACATATATATTGTTGTGTTCTTATGCCATGTTAATTATCACGTGATAAGATCGTCAATTAGAACACCGACTTATACGACCTTGGCACTATATCAAACTAGTGACGCGTTAACCAGTACGGACAACCTAAAGTCAACTCTGAGTCCTTAATTGTTCTTGTCACCTAGCCCTGTCGATTTGAGTCCAGAACACAATTTCAACTTCCGTTGTATAAATCATGTGTTTCAAACGTACGCAATTTGTATACAAGCAAATCAGACCACATCACACCATAAGATGAAAAAAATGACAGTTAGATAAGATCACGTCGAAAGTAGCTGTGAGCATGGCATACTGTAACTAACAAATTTGAAATAACTTAAGAATAGTAAATCGTATAATAATAGTCCATATGTCAAATGGAAGCATGAAACAAAAGGAATATGAATATACATATAATATAATTACTTAATTGTTATCCAATAAGAATACATGTAATAATAGTCCGTAAATAATTCCTACCACTTACCATTCATTTATTCTTCATTAGGATATAACATATACATAATTCAGAGGCCAAGTTTTTTTATTGAGATCATGAACCGATTGATGTTGGACCGCCATTGAAAATGTGGAAGCACTGGACGGCCGTTTCGTCTTATCGTGCGACTCCCCAGTAATGCGAATCTATGACCCCACTCTCGGGATTCGAACCGACGGCCCTCAGTCTCTCTCGCGAACGCTTAACCTCTAGACCTTTGAGTCGGTATCCATCGGTGTTAATGTCTAACCTCAACCAATCCACAAAATTGCGTGACCATCTTCCATTGTACTGAGGTAGATACCTGAATCTACCTGACACGGATTGGCTCCGCCGGTCACGGATCCACACTAGAACTCCGAGAATTCCCTCACAAAGCTAGTCACTATTGAGCACTACTGAGGAGTCCCATAATAGAACGAAGCGGTCGTCCAGTTTTCCAGGTTTTCAATGGTGGTCTATCATTGGTCGGTTCATGATCTCAATCAAAAACTTAATAATCTCCACAACCCTATACTGACAAGTTTTTTTTCTTGATAGTCAGGTTCTGGGTTAAGAATATTGTGGGTATAGTGCTTGAACAAAGTTGAAGCGTTCAATATTTTCCTTTAGTCATTTTGTTTTTTGTTACATTTCTTTTTCAAAACCACAGTGAAAAGAAATTATATATCAATTTTTATATCTTTACATTTCATAGGATTGTCTGTTACTGATGATATGTGTTTAACTGTTGGATTAGAAGATTTACTAAATGCTTCATCTACTGGTCGTTGGTGGTTAATTGGTTCAGCAGTAAATCGATTAGTGAATGATATTTCATCTGTAAAATCCAAAGATGATGAAAAATCTAAACCATCTTTAAATCCTGAAGTATGAGTGTTAAGTTTTTTTGGTTGATTTTTATCTTTATATTTACCAATCAATAAGGTTAATATTTTCTTGGTTTTTCAATGATAGTATATGTTGGGAAATGCAATAATTCCTGAAATCTGTACAAGTTATAGGCCAAAACACTTTGATTTTTTAGATTTTCAATTGCTTGTGTGATCTAGTACCTTTGATAGGTTATTCTCAAAGATATTTCAAATTCTTTTGAAGAACTATTTGTATATTTCATACCTATAGAAGAGGAGACAAAACTTCTGTTTTCTGTTTTTTTCCTCGATGTTTAGGGTTGGATTAAAACATTTTGTTATAACTTGTGGCCTGAGTGCCCTGATAACGTATAACGTGATGATACTTCCAATTAGAAAACAGTAATTTATCGATCGAGCCAATGACACATAAAACAAGTATGAGTAGTCTAGAGTCTTTATCGGTCCTTCTTCCTGCTTAGACCTGCTTGCCTGTTAAGTCCAGAACACCAATCTCAACCTCTGTGATATGAATCATGTATTTCAGGCATACTGGGTTTATATACAAACCAAACAGACCACATCGTACCATAAAATAGGAAACTCCATTTGTACAAGATTTGGCCAAATGTGACTGCGAATGTGGGAGATAGTAATTAATAAACTGGGCATAACTCAAGAATGGTGAATCGTATAATAATAGTCTATAGATCAAATGGAAGTTTATAATAAGAGGGACATGACAATGAATAGTTTAATTATTGAACAGTTATACGATAAAAATATACGCATATTATTGGTCCATAAACGGATCCCAAAAGTTACCATTCATAATTCTTATCGGGATATAGCACATTTACTAAGGTGTTAGTACATGAATCTGTTATCTGAACTCGTAATCTACTAGCTAAAATCTGGGTGCTTTCATCATTAAGAATCCCATTTCAACTCCTTTGTAGATTTATATTTAGTATTGTTAGCGGGACATAGACCGGATTGAAGCATGCTCAATGCATGATTGCTTTGCTGCACGCTGATTGGCTAATTCTTATCCAATCAGCACTGGCCGATAGTTGGAGAATACTCTGAAATCTTCTTATGTAAAAACTATAAATATACTGACGTTTTCCCCTATTGTGCTTCTGACTTGCTATTTGGAATATAATCCTTTTCCTGTTCAACCGTGTTCTGATTTGGGGACTTGTCGAGTGAATCAGTGTTCGAGAATACTAAGCAATAGGAATAGCTGGGTCATTAACCGTAAGAAGAAAGAACAGAGATTTATAACAAGTATGATTAATTTAATTTGCTTATATTTAGCAATTCTATTGCCTCATCCGCCACCAATGGACCTTTACAAAACCCTATTGAGTTTTTCACACTATTTTACTTGAATTTTAGTTGGTAGCCGTTGCAGAAAAACTTGGCCTACGTACAACTTCTCGTCAATTAACATTTAGTATTTTAGTTTCTACTCCTGGTGGTCCAGATGCTACAGCTTCAGCTTTACTCAAATCTTGTCACACTTCCGCTAATTCACCAGGTGTTCAACTTGTAGCAGGCAGTATAGCCGGTAGAGAAAGGGAAATGATTCATATTTTATTACACTGTGTTATGTCTGAAATGCCTTTCAATCGTTTTTATCCACGTGTATTAGGTGGTATTCTAAATTGTCATCGACGATTTTTGGTAAGTAAGGGGATAAGTTTTGTCGTTTTTATCATTTCATTATGATTGATTAAATTGTTCCTAATTGATAAGTTCTTTTACTGCCTAATTTATTATGTCATGTATATACACATATATAGTAGCAAATGTTGGAGGACAAGCCTGGATGTTATCTGCATTGTGCTTTTCGATGGTGTTATACCAATAATAATAATTATTATTATACAGTTTATTATCAATACACTTACTTAGGCTTGTCACCCTTCATGGAACATAGGGTACCGACTAGGATTCTCCAACCAACTCTCTGCTGTATCCTACTTTCCAGTTGTTTCCAAGTGCTATTCATTCTTTTGATGTTTTGCCTCCAGTTTCCAGCTCAATGTTATTTAGTATACCTCTTCTTCTTTACCCTTCAGGGTTCCAAGTCAAGGCTCGCCTTTTGATGCAGCTTGATGATTCTCATAGTGTACGTCCTATCCACCTACATCATCTTTTCCTAATTTCCTCTTCAGCTGGAATCGGGTTTGTTCTCTGTCACAGCAGGTTGTTGCTGATGATGTCCAGCTAACGGTTCTGAATTATCTTGTGTAGACAGTTATTTATAAATACTTGTACATTCTTGATTATGGTTGTGGTTGTTCTCCAAGTTTCAGCTCCATACAGTAGAACTATTTTGAAGTTTATGTTGAAGATCTTGGCTGTACACAGATCCATATACTTTACTTTGAATTATAGTGATTTTATAAGGTCTAGTGGTGTATTGAACGAGAACACAAGTTGGGAAAATCGAATGTATTTGAATACAAAATGACATAATATATTCATAAAATCTAAGAATCATACAATCAATCGTCTCAGAATTTATTGTTTCTTTTCGTTTCTATACCAATTATCATTTCTTCTAGTTCTCTTTTCTTTGATCTTCTTAACCTTCTACCGCCAGACAATTCACTTTCGATTGATAATACATACTACTTATAGCTGTCAATATGAGTAGCATACACACGACAGCGGTATACTGCTACCCATCTTTTAAAGTCAGATTATATTATCTTTGTAGATAAATTAAAAGAGAAACTTTCTAGTAATTACTATTCAGGGTATTTAATTTATTGTTTTTTTCTTTTAAAATTTTTATTTTAGATGATGATCAAATGTGGATTTTGGGATATATTAAATAATACTAATTTAACAGTTAAAGCTAAATCTAATGCTGGTCAAGCTTTAGGTTTACTTTGTCTTGTTTATAATTTTCCATTAACCGTACTAAAGGTAGGTAATGTTTATTGTTTTCTTTTTATAGTTTGTTTTGTTGTTGTTGTTGTTGGTGGTGGTGTTTTTTTATTCATTCTGTTTGTGTGTGGGCTGTGATACTGTCTGGGTGCCCAGACCAAAACAGCACAATACATTCGTCCTAGTATATGAAAACAATGCGACCTATATATGAATTTCATATTATTTTGAAGATTTTGACTAGCAAATGTGCAGATTGATTAGAGTATTTCGCTTGAATGTTTTGTTTAATTACTAATAATAATTATTATCATTTTATCTAACTGTTAGGTATCAACTGTATCAAGTCATATTGAAGATTTGATCGACAGAATTCGGTCATTAGTAGTATCCAAGTACTTGTTAGAGATCTGTACGATATTCGTTACTGGCAGGGTTATGGATATATATTGCTAATAAGTTCTTTATTACGTAAGACCAGATATATATATATATATATATATATGCATCAGTCCAAGTTGTCACACCTCATTAGCACAACAAGACGAACACCAGATTCATATAAGTTATATATAAAAGACCGATTGCATATAAGGACATAATACAGGAAGAAAGAATTAGTTCGTAGAAAGAAATATATGAAGCGCTTTTAATCTCTTAGTTTAAGGGAAGACAGATAGTGTATACACCGACGCCATTGTGGTCGATTCTGAGCCATGTCACACACAGTCCCTAACCAGTGGTTACGATAGTCATGCGGACCCCAACCAAGTAGTCTGCATCTACCAACATGGCTCATACCAGAAGTTAGTGACACTGTGGACTGATGCCACGTTTTGGTTTGGCGCCCCTAACTTCCAACCATGTCCAACACTAGTCAGCATTGCGTGTCTTTGTAATCGGTGTTTAGGCATAGATAGCACGCCATTCAGACATCTCAGTCGATGAAGATTCAAAACCTCATCAACTGATTTACCATCATTCCCTATTATCTTGCGTCTAACCTCACTATTACTTACCCGATAAACTCAGCGGATGCGAGTAATATTTCCAAATACTAGTAGCCTACGAGTGTCTTCGCAGCCGTAAATTAGAGCGAACTGCTACGCAGTGTACTTGTCTCTTAATTGATAGACGGATATCTCTCCTTCGTCATAGGTGACGTATGTTGGCAAAAGCCAAACAAGCTTTTCGAATCTGTGCAGAGATTTCGTCAGACTCTCAACATAAAAGTATGGGTTTGTAACCATAAAGTTGATTTACACTAAGTCTGTCCTATTTTCTTCCAATCATTACTCAAATACGTTTTTTTCTTATTTTCCATTAGAATTACAATTTTGGAGACACCAGTGAAGGAAATGTTGCTTTCTTACAATATACAATTATGGAATTATGCACTGGCGAATATCAAAATGTTTTAGCTAAATTATTGCAGTTATCAGCGTATACAAGACTTTGTCGAAACTGTCGAATATTTATGCGTAAACATTTGATTAATGAAATGGTTGCTGACGATAAATTTGACTCTAATCTTAAAGCTATTGTTACAAAACTTGTTTCAGATATGCGTGAAGCAGAATCGTTTTGAGTTTTGTGATTATTATTGCTTAAATGGCATTTTGTGTTTGTACATAATTATTATGTATATAAATAAGTATCCTAATAATTTGACAGTTTCTTCATAAGAATTTTTAATAAAGAGCTTACTGTTTTCAATCTATATTCTTAGGACATATTGCTTATAGAATTTCAGATTGATATTGGTAATCCTAAAGTTACTTGTTTTAAGAAGCGCCATCATCAAGATTATTTGTCTTGGTTCGAAATGTTTATAAAGAACAGTTAGCAGTTAGTCCCACGAAATTTTGATGTAACACCGGCGTATGCAAGTGATTTCCACGGAATTGTAACAATTGTCGCTTTTATCTCGAAATCCAATCTACTATCTGTTTACCATTTGAATGAGTAAAGAAGTTCCATAGTTGCTTGAAACTTGAAAACTAGTGGTAATTGTACAGCTGTCTTGTAACTGTAACGGACTCCTCACCAATACGCAAACATGATTCAACTGTAAGTCAGTTAGTCAGCTACAACGTAGGACCAGGCACATATTTGCATCGGTCCAAGTTGCCATATCTCATTAACACAACAAGATGAACACCGGATTCATAGAACTAGTTACTTCAATGGTATATAAAATAAATATTGCAATAAGGATATAGTACAGGAAGAAAGAATTAGTTCGTAGAAAGAAAGATATGAAGCGATTTTAATCTCTTAGTTTAAGGGAAGACAGATAGTGTATACACCGACGCCACTGTGATCGATTCTGAGCCATGTCACCAAGAGTCCCCAATAATTGGTTACGATAGTCATGCGGACCCCAACCAAGTAGTCTGCATCTACCAACATGACTTTAAGCACTGATTGTGACCAGTCAGATGGAATAACGTCTAACTCCCAGATCTTAGCTAAAATATTAGTCAACCTAATCGCCAAAATTGAACCACCATCCTTAAAGACCTCTGGAGCCAATCCATCTGGATCAGCTGCCCTTCCTCGTTTCAGATTAACTATAACCTTTTGAACTTCTGCTAGATGTTTGTGCAGTCATAGTTTGGAGTGATGCGATGAAAGTCTCAATTGAGTGAAAAGGATAATGAAATATCAATATGTATGAGTAGTCATATATGCATAGTGAAGAGAAAACGTGTCTGAGAATTTAATTTAAGTGTACCACAAGTTATTGTCTTAATTACAAACTTCGTAATCTTAAGAATATTTATTTAGAGGGTGTAGTGACTCACATTTATCACGAGATCACGACTGGTTTAATATAAACAATTATTATTATAACCAACTGTACCAGTGTTTGTTCAAATGTGCTTTTGTTTGACTGTGCTAATGACAGTCATATTGTGCTTCTATTCTTATTCACACACTTTGATTGTGACTTCGCGCGAATTCGGTTACGTTCTGTAACCAAGCATGTATCCTGGCAAGATCTCGGTATCGTTTCGATACCACGAGATCGCCAGGAAATATATCTCGACTTGGTCCATTAACTGCCTTCTGATATTTGGCTTCTCGGGGATTTAATGTATTTATTTGGTTACGTTCAACCCTCGCCTTTTGATTTATTTGGCACGTGTTTCTTGGTAGCGGTGTTCATAGTTAACCTCAACTCGACACCACGCTACAACGGAAAGAAGAGAGAAAAGTATAGATACGAACATAAGCAGACTTCATATATTAAGATAAATAAAATAAGATAGACGTGAAAAGATTTAAAGGTTTTATTTTGCTTTTCAGGCAATTAAATGGATGACGGACCTTGTTTGCATAAATCATTGTTTAATACATTGATATTCAATAAGTGAAATAATCCACTTTCGGAAAGAAAATCATCAAGGAGACTTTTGAACCGGGTTGTAGTTTCACTGCAACGGAGGTTCATTGGCAGTCTGTTCCACATGGTTGAGTAGCGAATAAGGAAACAATTCTGATGTAAGTTTGCGTGGGTTCTTGGAATCGCTAGAATATTCTCCTTATTGCGTAGATTGTGGGATGATATCATAAGGTATGAAGGGGTGGATACCGTAGAGTAGGAAATACCGTTAATAACCCGGTAGATAAAGACATGATTTAATTTGATACGTCTGATCCAAAGAAGTTCTAAGTTGAGTTGTTGATATCTTTGGTGATAGTCTTTGTTATCGGAATACCCCAGAACAGCTTTGGTGAACTTTCTTTGAACACCTTCAAGTCTCATCAGGTCGTTGTGTCTGCAATTACTGTAAACTAAAATATCATATTCAAGAATAGGTAAGACACATTTTCTGTATAATAACAATCTCGATTCAATATTATTAAAGTTTATCATTATCAATCCGATCAGCTTTCTAGCTTTGGGTGCTTGAGATATAATGTGCTCAGTAAAGTTCAGACTGTTGCTATCTCTTAAACCCAGGTCACGAACAGTGTTGAGAGGTTTGAGTGTATGTGTGTGTACAGTCAGATTTAAGTTAAGACAGCGACCAATGTGAATAAATCCACTTTTGTCAACATTAAGTGGCGAATTCCACGAAACAGTCCATTCGTACAACTTGTTTATTTTCTCTTGGATTACCGCTGAAACGGCCGTTCAGTGCATCTAGGTTTTCCGTGGTGGTCTAGCTTCAATCGACTCATGATTTCGACGGGTGAAATTTCTAACAATTATCTGTTGAGTAATCCCTGTGTGATCGATCTAGGATTGATAAAATAACATCCCTGAATTGATAGAAACACTTGTTTGTTTTACTTGACTGCTGATCAAAAAATTATTTGTCGAATAAATGGGTGTTAATATTTTTTAGGTAATGATGTACAATTAACTTTATTTTCAAATTTGGAACCGTCATTTACCCAGCTGTTTGTTTTGGTTTCGACTGAGTGATAGCCCGTATCTGAACAAACCTAAACAGTTATTCCCCATTGCGAACTGCCTTTGTTTGTTAGCCATATCCCTGCCTCATGAAAACTGAACCACTTATGTTTAGGTCAAGTCATCTGTTTTCCAGACGTTTTAGTTAGCATCAAGTTGATTTATTATTTAGGCCAACTTTGCTTGTGGCAATATAATCTTTTGGGTGAGTTGAACGTCGTAGGTTCTCAGCAGTTTTCTCATGTCTTCCTTTTCTGGAAAGGCAAGTGAGGTTTCCCCTTCTCTTTCTGGCCAGGAATATTTGTTCTATAATTGTTCTTTGTCCGAACGCTTTTGCACATGTCAATACTCTATCTTTCATTTGTCCATATAACGTTATGTACTCTATTAAGATAGATGACATGAGCGCTTCGATAAACTGACTCAAGCTAGGTAATTGAATGTTGAAAACTCAGAGTAAACACTCTCAAAACTATACAATGAAGATTATTTGTGTAAAAATCTCTAAAATTTTAGGTAAGTCCAACGTGTCAAGAGACAAATAGGCACAAATAATTGGAAGTCTGATCCAATTAAGGTTCAGTCGCTAAGGCTTTTACAAGTATAGCTTACATCCTTTGTGTGGTACATTAACCCGTAACCCAACTATTGTGGTTCTATTCCTTCCGGAACCTTATTTGAAACCGTAATAAAGACACACAAAGATATTTGTGGCGATTAATGATATAATCATACATATAAACATCCACTTCACCGAGTAAAATAAGTAAAAGCCATACTTTTGTTACTTTCCGTGGATTGTACCTTGAAAGCGTTTGAGCTAATTATGTCGCGGCTATTTCAATAAGTTTGCAGGTGATGGTTTTTTTTCATTAAGTTAGTGTAAGTTGACAACAAACACTGGAAACCATGATATCTTGTTTGCCTCAAAATGAATTATAACGTCAGTGTGTAGTAGTATCGTGGATTTTATATGATGGATTATGCTAACAGCAGTCTCGATCCTGAGGTTCTTGAGTTCTATCGTCCAAACAGGTCAAAGCACATTCGTTGCCATTCTCATCACCACACACATCAGTTTGTCCATCCTAGGCGCCCACATAATTCCCAGCCCATTAATCAGACACAACTGTCAATAACACCGTACAATAAGAATTCTAATTATGCAACTCCTAACATTCATCATGGGAACATGGCAAATTTTCAGGATTCACGAATACATCACCACCGACCTCAGCTCCAGCCACATGTTGCTCATAAACAGCATACGGAACATTATCACTATCATCTAAATCAAAATGCATACAGGTCTTCTGTGAGTCCTCAAAATCTCGGGAGTACTTGTGGTGGAAGTGTAAATGCACTCACATCAACTAGCGGTGTTAGCAGTAATTCTGGTAGTTTATGTACTAGCAGCAGCTCTCATTCAAGCCACAAATCTGGCACTAGTCTTCGTGCAGTAGATCTAATTCCTTTATTGAAGAAAAAAATCGCACTTTTACCTGGTGGTAGGTCGAGAAGAGGCGGACCCTTATTATGTTTTCCTTCCAATTCACGGGCTGATGAAATCCCTATTGAAGACTTGTATGTCCTTGTGAGGTATCTCACTTACCTCCCTGACGACAAAGTCAAGAGGTTGGGGTTTGTAGTGATAATCGATATGCGAAGTGGGACTACTTGGCACAGTGTCAAACCGATTTTGAAAGTAAGTTCATTGAGTATTCGGAACTGATTATGATCTAGGTACTAGAAGAATGTCTTGGTCAAGATGTAACCTTGACGTTTATAATTAAACCTGATAAGTTCCTTGAGAAACACAAAGCTCAGCTGGCGAGTGGAAAGTTCAGTTTTGAAATACAACTAGTGTCTGTGGAGTCTTTGTTTCGTGAAGTTGATCCTAGCCAGTTAACTTCTGAAATGGAGGTCAGTTTTGCATTTTCAAAACAATTATGGTATTTTAACCATGTATGATACGCGGCATATCCCATTCGTGCTTGTTAATATTTCTTATATTATTTTGAACATTATGGCTTCATCAATCTATAGATAGTTATTCCTCAAACTTTGATGGACTTGTGTTGAACCTTTTATGTTTTTAATCTTGAATTTCGCATGAAATTGCCACTCCGATATTGTCGAAAGGAAAATTATCCTCGCCGAAGTATTCAACTACACAACGGGTTCCTACTAGTCATTTCCTTATGTTCGGTACAATGAATCTTATAGTTTCTGTTATCGCTTAGTATATACTGTCGTTAAAGCACTTGGGCTTCGGCCATCAGGTTCTCT